TACAGAATATCATGGGTCAATGATATGGTAAATGAGCTCTACTCGCTTATTCTACATTATATGGATTTCTAAAGGATTGTAGAATTCATCCTCATCGCCAAGCATGGCTCACACATTCTTCTACCCAAAAAACCTACTAAGGCTACCAGGTGGAATGACTTATTGGATTGTATCATTAATTTTATCTATCGAATTGACTAGTCGGAGCGACTTAAATATAAAATTACAAGTGTCAAAGTGTCATATGTTGCTTTCCTAGGAGTCATATGTTGCTTTCCTATGTGTCAATATGCGTTTCTAAGAAAAGTCCACTCCACTTAGTTCGCCTAGTTAGTGGTCCTCGGGATTGACACACGGTTAGAGTAAAGATCAATATTGATGAGTTAACATATGCCTATGACAATTTATGAGATGTCTGACATCTACATTGCCATCTTTTTATCTCATAGATCATTTTTTTCACTCTTTTGGAGGGGTTCATTGGAGGAACTGAGAATTTAGGTCTGTAAAATACGTGTATTCTCCTTTTCTACACATTTTTCTTACACAGATTTCTTCCAGGTAATATAAATCTATAACAAGATCCTCCCTCTCTGGGTAATATAAACCTATGACATGATCTTCCATTCTAAAATGATTTACATAACTAAATAGGTTTTTTTCCCTCATTCTTTCAAAATATTCTCCTAATATATTCAATTACACCCCACAACTCTGATGTTGTATATTGTTAATTGATTCTATAGTCAAGGTAACTCCCATCATAAATCTTGGGTGGTTTTCAGTTTTTGTTAAGTGGCATCCTTTAATTTTGAACTCAGAAAGTAAAATCAATATTTAAAAAATGATCTTTGAATATACCGTATCAATAAGAGCCATAACAATCCAGGGTACAGTGGAAATATTCACCTTTTTCTTTTTTATTTAAAGTCAATATTTAAAAAATGATCTTTGAATATACCGTATGGTGGAAATATTCACCTTTTTCTTTTTTATTTAAAAAAAAAATCAACTTCAGCTTACAAGTTACAACCGCCGAGCTCAACCACCCATCTACATTTAAAAAAAAAAAGAGGCTGCCCCCCAGCAATTGCCCATCTACATTTAAAAAAAAAAAAGAGGCTGCACTCCAGCAATTGAGACTTTAAATAAACAGGACATATGAGCTGCGTTAGCCTGTTGAACCTCCAGAATTGAGGACCGCCGCCATTGTTGTCTCCTCCATCGCACAAAGACGGTAATCAACGTATCAAGTCTTCATTAAAATTACTTTAACTAAGTTATGCTTTACTCTCATTTCCAGTCCATGTTATCTAGAAATCGATCGAGATACGCAATTTGACAAAATTACCGAGCAGTCTCCTGAGGAAATTTCATCAGCAATTCAATTCGCTTTCTATGCAACTCAAAAGTCCAACTTTTCCTGCGAATCGATCCCCAACAACAAAACTCGAAAAAATCATCCTTTACCATAATCAAATTTTCAATATAGCGGTTGAGAGGATAATGAAAACCATCAACCCTGCTTTCTTGTTCCTCACATCAATACTCCTCATCCGCCTTTCATCTTCCACCGCCCGCGACACCATCAACCCCAAAACCCCACTCTCCGGCGACCAAACCCTCAACTCCTCCGCCAACCTCTTCGCTCTCGGATTCTTCACCCCCACGGGATCCACCAACTGCTACCTCGGCATCTGGTACAACAACATCAAAACCCAAACCATAGTATGGGTAGCCAACCGCGACTCCCCTGTTACTGGCAACTCCACCGACGCAATCCTCTCCATCTCCAGCAACGGCACCCTCCTCATCACAAATCGCAATACAGGCGTCGTCGTCTGGTTCTCCCAGAACTCGACCTCCCTCGCCACCCCCATCGCTCAGCTGCTCGACACAGGAAATTTTGTCGTTCCTAAATTAACCGGCGAAGATGACGAGTTCGCTTGGCAGAGCTTCGACTACCCGACGGATACCATCATTTCTGGAATGAAGATAGGAGTAAGCTTCGACACAGGCATCAACCGCACGGTAGCGGCCTGGAAGTCGGATACGGACCCCAGCTCCAGCAGCTACACCGCTTCCATGAATACCAACGGCGACCCGCAGTTGTACTTTATGTCCGGATCACAGAGGCTCTGGCGCAGCGGCCCATGGGACGGCCTTCATTTCTCCGGCGTACCGGACACCAGCTCATACACTCAGTTCAACATTACTTTCAGCTTCATCAACAATAAGAACGAAGTCACCTACTCCTTCCACACTCACAACCCATCCATCGTGACCAGGCTACTGGTGAACCAGTCGGGACAAGTGCAGCGCGCAATCTGGCTATGGGATGCCGAGCAATGGAACTTTTTCTGGCAGGCGCCGCGAGACCAGTGCGACAACTACGCAGCCTGTGGGCCATTCGGTGTTTGCGACCCAAACACGTATCCCGCCTGCGAGTGCGTGCAGGGATTCGTGCCGAACAATCCGACCAACTGGGAGCTAAGGTCTGGGAAAGATGGGTGCGGGAGGAAGACGAAGCTCGATTGTACGAATGGGACGGATGGGTTCGTGACGGTGAGCGGGGCGAAGGTGCCTGACACGGCGCAAGCGATTGTCGACTTTAGTTTAGGGCTGGATGCATGCAAGGCAAAGTGTTTGAGGAATTGCTCCTGCACGGCTTACGCGTTGGCGAATCTCAGCAGCGGGAGCGGGTGTTTGATGTGGGTTGCCAACCTCGTCGACATCCGGCTTTTGGCAAACGGCGGCGGGCAGGATGTCTACGTGCGAGTCGCGGCTGTTGATTTGGGTAAGCATTTTGGTTTAATTTAAAGTTAAAATAATTGAATCTCGATGCATGATACAAACTAAAAATGACACCAAATCTTCTTGCTTGCTATGCATCTCTTTTTCATATTTTTAGATTTTAGTTTTCTATTGCTAACTTGCTGATATTCAATAATGAAAGAAGCTTTGAAACGTTCAACTTGACAGGGATTTCATGAATTTGTTGAAAATATTTGATTAATTTAGGAGAAAAAATAACAGTGTGCATATGTAGTTAGTCAATGTTATGTCTCATAAGTCAAATAGAATAAAAAAAGTTTGTTGACTTGCTCAAGCATTCAAAAAACATTCTTAATAAATTTAGGAATGTCAAATATAGTTGCTGCTAATAAATAATGCTTTATTCTTGAAATGAACTAATAATAAAATAAATTTTTAATCATTAGACATTATGTGATTTCTTATGAATAAATTATTTGTTATTTAACTCATGCTAGCATTCATATCATTAATAATTTTAGTCATATGAACATTCACATGTAAAAATTAAAAAAAAAATTAATAATTTTTATATGAATTAATTTGAGGAGTATAGAATTCGTTGTTTATTTTAAAATTTCTTGAGGAATATTTACATCCATACCGCTCAAATGTTATGTTCTTACATATCAAACACCTAATTTTCAATTTCGACATACATACCACAAAAGGTGTATTTCAATTTTAAAACTTTAAAATGCGGATATCTTTGATGAGATACGAAGGACTTAGGTCATATAATGTAAAAAGTCAAATTTAGATGTTAGTTATTTTAATACATAGGAATTTGGTGTGGTAAAAGGCCCCTTTTCTTAAATATGAATGTGATCCCTCTAGTGATATGGTAGACCAAAGTGAATTCATCTTAAAAAAGTACTTTTTAATTTTAAATTAAAAAACTCTAAAGTTAAGTCTTAATGAACCTACTTTTGTGTATATAAATTTAATCAATCCCATTATTAGAGGCAGAATTAATTGACTTATAACGCACCTATCCGAAGCTAGAAGGTATGCGTATCGAATTACATGATAATATGTACAAATTAGTTATAACATCACGTGGTGCATTAGGGGAAATTAAATTAAATGACGATTAATCAGGCTGCTATTGCAGTTAGTATGGGTGGACATATAATATAAAATAATAAAAAAATTATAAATTTATCTTATATAATTAAGATAAAATAAATGATGATGGCGATGTCCATGATACATCAATTTGAGCTATTATATCTTTATATTACAATTAATATCAATGATTTATATCTATTTCAAAAAAAATCGTTAAGGAATTACTAATTTAATAATAAGGTAATTAAGTGTGAAATCAATTGTTCTCATAACATGCATGAGGAAAGTTGCTTTGTTGAATTTGAATTCGTTTGACTGCTTGGTGCTATAGGCTATAGCTTGTAATAATACTAAATGCAGGGTCAATATCTCATAATCATACGAGTGATCAGACGGCCGTGATTGTGCCGACCGTTGTGGTGGGAGTCTTCCTTCTTGCCGGTCTGAGTTGGTGCCTCTGGAGAAGAATGGGCAAAAGGCAGCGTAAGTACAGCTGTGCACGTTTTTCATATTTTATTATGCTTCAGAATGGATGGTATTCTTTCGCTTTGTTTGAACCTTGAATCCGTTTAAAATGGTAGTTGGAAAGAGACCTTATGAGAAATAATTTCATGTTCAAGCCTTTTGTTTCGACTCTATTTTTTATATTTTAAATTTTTATATTTAAATCAACTTAATATTGCGATTCTAAGCAAAAAATAAACACAGGTTTTTTTTTTCTTATGTGTTTTAGTTTATGTAAATGTTTGCCTGCCCCTACTACTATACGAGTTGATTGAAACTCAGTTAGTTATTTTCATGTGAAAAATGAAAATAAAGTAATTGGCAAATTCTTTTATGTCCTACGATTTATGGTTTGAAGGGAAGGATCTATAATGATGGAGACCTCCAATTTATGTATTTATTAATACTTTCTCACTACTTAAATTCAAATCATTGCATTTATTTGTCCTAAAAATGTTTTAAATGTTAACTTGAAAAGAGATTCTTTAATAGTTTCTTTGTGAAATTATTCCTGAACTTGCATAATAGGTGATTTTGTCCCTTTTTGTTGCTGCATCTTTTTTAATCTGTAGTTTTAATAGATGTTGCTTAAATTAAATAAATGATCTCTTCTCTTTCGATAGGTATGTCACGTACGAGCTCCAATCATATTGAAGGCAATGCAGAACAGGAACGACTACACAATGACTATGAGTTGCCTATGTTTCCTCTGGAAAAAATCACTGCTGCGACCAATAACTTCTCGTCAGAAAACAAGCTTGGAGAGGGTGGCTTTGGTCCTGTCTACAAGGTAACTAATTTAGCAAATTACTATTTAATGCTAATTATTTGCTCAATATATATAAGGATATAGAAAGGTTTGTTTATTTTTACTTTATTGACTTGACAGTGCAGAATGTTAGATAAGAAAATTTGATTATCTGATTTCGCTATTAAGTTTATGATGTGGTTGATTGATGAGAAGCTGCATTACTTGATGAATTTGCAGGGTAGGCTTGATGATGGACAAGAAATAGCAGTGAAGAGGCTTGCAAAGAGTTCAGTCCAAGGTCTTGATGAGTTCAAGACTGAGGTAATGTTAATTGCCAAACTCCAGCACAGAAATCTTGTGAGATTGCTGGGTTTCTATATTCAAGGCCTTGAAAGAATGTTGGTGTACGAGTATTTGCCTAACAAGAGCTTGGATGCTTACTTATTTGGTATGTTTTGCTCTTAAGTATCTAAATATTGGAGTCACACTTCGGGTCTTTCATTGAAGGAATTATTATTTGGCATAGTTTTACATGCAATAAAATGAGCATAGAGTGGAGTAGTCACTGAGTATATATAGCGGTTTACTTTTTTTTTTTGGGACATTTTAGTGAAGGTAATCACAAACACATGCACACTACATACACATAGCCTTGAACCTAGGACTTCTTGGTTGATGCATAAGCTCTCAACCAATAACCTTGGATGGCTTGCATGCTGTGTATGCTCTCCTTTTTTTAGTACACCACGAGTACAAACCTTTATACTTGACAAAACTGAAGTGCACATTGATGTAATTCAAAAAAAAAAAAAAGTGCTTTGGTACATTACACAAAATTTAAGTATGGCATTCACACCTATATTTTATCCACTCATTGGGATCAAACGAGTACAAACCTTTATACTTGACAAAACTGAAGTACACATTGATGTAATTCAAAAAAAAAATGTGCTTTGGTACATTACACAAAATTTAAGTATGCAATTCACACCTATATTTTATCCACTCATTGGGATCAATATTATATTTTTTTTAAAACTTGAGTTGGACTGACTAATTTAGAGCTAATTTTAAGAAAAAAATCACAAGAAAGCTTGAAATTTCACAAGATTCATAATAAGAATATTTAATATTTGCATTGATGAAAAAAGAATGAAATACATATACATTAAAAGATTTTAAAAGAAGGATGAAATATTCTATAATGGTTTGTTCGGATGATATTGATTATGTGAGCTGTGTAAAAGCATGATAGTTAATCATGATCTTCAAGAAGATATAACCTATAAATTTTTCGAACTCACCAAATCATTTTCCCTTTAGTGAGATCCTAAAAAACACAATGATCAAAATATAAAATGAATATGCAATACTTTATTTTGTGGTTTTATAGCTATGGCCTTTGGTAAGTTTGTGGATAGAAGAAACAAGAGCAACAAGGTGTAGAATATGCAATACTTTAGTGATAGTTAAGTTAGGAGAATTAAGATGTATCCATGTTCTACAATATTTGTTAAAGATTCTTTTATAACTTTTATTTGTTTTTTTTTTTTCTAAAACTTGATTTATAAGAATGAAATATACTGACATGATTAATTATGTGGTTATTGACCCTTGAATCTAGTATCTAGAAGGTAGAATAATTAATAGAGGCATTAAAAATATAAGAATTAAAAGTTATAACATTTTGAACAAGAGATGAGATCTGGATGACTTTTCTAAGGAATTTAAATAACTTCTTAATTTTTCAATTTCTTCTTAGTTATTCTTTTCTAATTCTACTAGGCAAGTTTTTTTTTTTTCATTTTTGTTCCCTTCTTATTCTTGAGGATTTAATGGAGCTTTTAATATTTATTTTTGGTGTGCCCTTTCATTTCGCATTAGTTGCACCATATAATATCTTTGAAAGAAAATATTTGTCCTTCTTTTGAAGAAGGTTTTATAACAAAAAGCCTTTTATTTTGGGATTCACTAGTTGTCATGAAAATATTTTGAGGGAAAAGCCTTAGCATCAATGTCATTTATTTTCAGTGGCTATATGTGAGAATGCTTCCTTTAAAGAAGGGAGAATTTGTTAGCTTGGAATTTGAATTCTAATTTGATCAAATTCATATTGAGTTCCACTATGAACATAAATATTCTATGTCACTCCATGCATTGCTTGAGGATCAATGAAGTCTCATAGCATGACATTTCAAGATCTTGATAATAATCCAACTTCAACCAGTAAACCTCCATGATATTAAACTATTCAACGATAAGAAGATTTTCTTATTTGATAGTGTTTAATTTTGTCTTGATTTTCTATATGACCGCAATATCATTAACTTTTGAGTAGGTTTATTTGACTACATCTAAATATTTTTTTTTTGTTATGGAGAGAAATATAAATTGTTAACTAATTTTGGGTAGCATAATATTCCACAATCATATTATGATCATGGAATCATCTTATTCAAAGATGTCTTTAGGTTTTGGGATAGGGAGAGGAAAACTACTAATAATTTAGTTCATTGAAAGTGACAATGAAAGTGACAACTTGAATTTTTTTGCTCATTGAAAGTGACAACTTGATGAGGATAGGAAAACTACTAATAATCAGTGGCACTCAAATCATGAAAATAAATTTGACAATTAACTTCTCTTTGAATTTTGTGTCATGTGTGTTCTCTCGATAGTCATAGGCTTGGCATTGGATCCTTTGTCATCATTTTCTCCAAGATAGCTGAGGCACACCATGGCAAATGGTACGAGCCGACTCGAGGTAGGCCAAAAAATTCTGGCCAAGGATTTCGGACCCTGACCCTGTAAAGAGGAGGAAAAGTCTGAAGAAAGAAAAAACAGATGAGGCCCGAACCTGCTTCAATTGATGTAGTTGACTTGTCTGATAATGCTACAGAACTGTAACCGAATAGCTTCGACGGGAAACTCTAGCGTATGGGCCTGATGCAAACATGATTGTTGAAAGCCAACAAGACAAGACTGATGAAGAGGTTGAGGTTGGGGAAAAGGAGTCGAAGGAAGTGAAGGTCATTGGTTCTTCCCAGCCTTCACCTTGGAAAGGAGGTATCTTATTCCAAGAGAGGGATGAAGTTTCGAGAGTTATCTCTGAAATGGGAAAAATTTTAGGTTTCCAAACAGTCTCTTTGGCTATTGACAACTTTTTTAACAACTTTGTGACGTTATCTATAATACAGATGAATGATGTGAAGGTTGTGAGCCTTTGGAGGATGTTGTGAAGTCCGCCCCCACTGTAGTGGCCCGTCAACAGGTCGAATTCGCGGAGCTTCTACCCCTAAATTCCTCGATAGGGCAATGGTCACCTGACCCCTTGTTCACTGCCGGCTCTTAATAGGAGCGATTAGAG